CACCAGAACGCGGCACAAAAATCCCTGCGTTCTGGTCCAGTGCGATCGGAAAAAATGCTGCATGCACTATTTTTTCCCGATCGCACTGGACCAGAATGCAGGCATTGTGGTTTACGCGTTCTGGTGACTTCACTTTACCGCCACGGCCCCTCCCAGCCCAGAACGCGGGGGAGGGGTTTACCATGCGATACAGTGCGTTCCAGCTAACTGTGCTGGAACGTACTGTAACTCGTGCGAACAAACCCTAAACACCGTCCTAAAACATTGCATTCTTTGATTCAGGCATGATCTGCGTTCAGGGTGCGGCGGTGCATTGAAGTCAAGGTCACCATAGCCATGCCCCCCGCCCGTATTGCAATCGCCCTCACCTGAACGCGTGGCACATTAGTGCCTGCGTTCCGGTTCAGTGTAAAATAAGTGCTTGCAGCATTTTTGAAGATTGCACTGAACCAGAACGCAGGCACTAGTGTGCCACGTTCAGCTCCCACTCAAGCCAATGACCTACCTGCTTCTGGCTCTTCAGGTGTGGTTCCAACGTGCAGACTGGGAGGAGTGTCCAAAGCTGCAGGCGGGGAGGGGCCAGTCAAATGCTGAGAGGGAGGAGCTGCCAGTGTCACGATTGCTGGAGGCTAAGGACACTGAAGAAGACAGAGGAGACCGAGGGGCGGACCAAGGGGGCGTTGCAAGTGTCTCATGGAAGAGACGGCGCGGCAAGTACTACTGACGGATGCAGACAGGAGGGGAGAGCCGAATGTGCTGAGAGGGAGGAGGAGGGAGGAGCTGCCAGTGTCACGATTGCTGGAGGCTATGGACAGTGAAGAAGACTGAGGGGCGGACCAAGGGGGCGGAGCAAGTGTCTCACGGAAGAGACGGCACGACCTACGCTACGTGCGGCAAGTACTACTGATGGATGCAGACATGAGGGGAGAGCCGAATGTGTTGGATGCTCTAGCGTCCGACATATTCGGGTAAACGGAGCGCGGGACAGGGAGTCGACCCGCGATCTACTAGCGATAGCTTTGCGATTCGCCGGTTAGATCGCGATCGACCTTATGGGCACCCCTGGCTTAGTCAGATGATCAAGCTTATCATCTTAAGAATCTGGTTCTGCCCTTTCCTGTTAAAACTCACTCTTCTAGATAAGTGAATGCTTCCAGGGCTTTTTGATATCAGGCAACTGTTTCCCGGATTTGCAAGGCTGCCACATGGTCTTCGGTCACACGCTCTCTAAGTTTTTACCAGGTGGATATTTAGGTTATATCCGATATGTGGCTGCAAAGCATCTTGGGGTGGGCGCATGCGCAGTTCACATTTTCGGCCGGGAGACGAGACACAAGGTAAGTATATGGGCGCGTGCACCCGCATGCAGACACAGTGGGACAGGAGATGCCAGCAAGGACAAAGGAGTCAGCGCTGGATCGGAGACCTGCAGCAGCGCTGGAGAGAAGGCTGAAAAGGACAGGAAAGAAGATCAGCTTTTCTCTCTAGTTTTTTCAGTTAAGATTTGAAAATGAAAGGTAAAAGCTGCTCCAGATTTTGTCTGCTCCAGTTTTGATAAATTTCCCCCCCATAATATTTGTCTTTCATGTTGCATAAGTACAGATGTTCAAACTCTCTGGAACTAAGGCTATAGTGATTGTCTGTTTGCCTGAGGTACTTTGGAATGTAATCTTTTTTGGTATGTTGGTGGTTTTGCTTGGTGAATTCCGATGAAGTGGGGATGCTCCGGCATTCTGTCTGGCAGAGACATTTGGGTTGGGTGCGGTTGTGCCTGTGTAATCTGCCCTGTGCAGCAGGATCTGTAAGAATGGAGATAAGAGAAACTGGTAATCCAGTGATATGACCTGCTAATGTGCAAACCAAGAGGACAAGTATTTGACTGATAAATTGTGTGAGACTAAATTGTAAGCTGTGTTTACAAAATTGTCTTAAAACTAATGTCCATATTTAATCTTTATTATGTCCTTAATTACTAAAAGAACCTTGGCCTAGATAAAAATTAGCTGCATTATTCTGTTGTATTTTTTTATATTTGGTAAAAAGGCCTTGTTCTTTTTGTTCAGAAACCAGCTTCAGACTATAGCATGTAAAGTAGGGAGGCACTAATATCGATACTGGTATCGGTATCCATGCCCATACTGAGCAAATGCTCCGATACCCCAAAACCAGAACCTCCGGTCAGAGGAAGATTCCCTCTGACCAGCAGTGCTGCGAGGGAGCATGAAGCCAGCTTCCCGGCGAATCGGGAAACTAGGAAGCCCGCTGCCTAGCGACACTGCGAGGCAGCCTGGCTACCTGACCAATCAGGAAGCCAGGCGGCAGGTCATGACTTGCCGCCCGGCTTCCTGATTGGTCAGGAAGCCAGGCTGCCTCACAGAGTCGCGATGGAGCCAGTGTGTATTTAATAGAAGACAGGCTACCGTGCTACCTCGGGATGCCAGTATTGGTATTCGGTATCGAGTACCGGGAAATTTAGTACAGTAGTAAGTTAGTAATGAGATTCCAGCCATGATTATGTAATCAAGTCTAATTTTAATTTGTTACACAGTTGTAAAGTGACCCTAAGTCTAGAAACTCTGAACTGTGATCAGAGTAGACTGTATAGTCCTCTATGAACATTAGAACACTGGTCCCTCATCCAAATATAATTTGACCCTTGAAATGTGTTCTGCTCTGCTTGTTACCTGACCTGTAATTGCATCCTATAACCTTACATTTATGTGAATAGACAGCAGACTGTAGTAAATCTTAACAAAACCAATACTGCTTTTATAGATGTGCTAATTTGGTCTAAATCTAGAAATGTTTCTTACTTTTTAGGCTACATTCACACATGCGTTTTTGTGCTATATCTGCCAGGCAAGATGCTGTATTTATGCTTATGCGTTTAGATGCACCTGGTACCGAATCCTACCGTCAAATCGTGTTTACCTGCATTTTGGTGCGGTTAAAAGTGATTCCTAGATAAAAGCATCTAAATGCAATGTGTGAATTGAACCATTGGAAAGCATTAGATGCATATACAGTATATGTTTATATATACATCTAATATAAAAGCTTTTCTATATATAAGAAAGGTTTTTCAAACACATCTAATCACGCCTAATGTGAATGTAGCCTGAGATGATTCTTTGAAAAAGGTCTCTATGCACTGCACTGCAAGCTATTCTGAATTTGAAAGGGAGTCTGTCCCCATACAAAAAAATTGAGAGGAATTTATCAAACATGCTGTGCATGACAACCAATCCGCTTTTATGTTTCATTTTCAAAGCTTAACTGAACAGAGTGAAGAGAGAAGCTGATTGGTTACTATGGGCAACTGCTCCAGATTTGTTTGCACCAGTTTTGATACATTTCCCCCTATGAGTTCTCTTCTCAATAACATACAATGCTTCTAGATTTTTTAAATTATTAGTAAAGACAGTATTCAAATCGAGTTTACAACTGATACTTAGATCTACTAGCACAGTACAACATTATTAATGGTAAATGCCACACCACCCTTCTTAACATTATACAAGGGGGTCATCTTGGTAGGTTTTATGGAAGTAAAAAGAGCTTAAATTGTAGTTACACTTTTGCAGTTACATTTGTGAAAGTCCCAATATGTTTTTGTTCTGTGTTCCCATTTACACTGCATACCAAAAATATATTATTAAAAATATATGTCTTACCTTTTAGCTGGTTCTTTGCTGAAGGCGTTTGTGTACATTCCAAGCTACTCTGAGCAGTATGAGTGTGAAACTGTAGGGTCAGACTGAACTTCCCCTCATTAACACACAATGCCTCAGAGGATTTTCACTCAGCCTCATAGTTCTAGCCGACCTGCGACAATGAGACTGTCACAGGTCGGCTTAGTAGATCGGGAAGTGAGCGAACACATACCGTCGCTCGCTCAGTTCTCGATCTATCCCTGACTGTCACGGCTCCCTGCAGGGATTCCCCCACTCCCCGCTCCGATCCTCCAGCGCTGACTGGTGAAACGGACAGGGGAGGGGGCGGGCACAGCTGGCTCTGCCTCTGGATAGGCAGAGCCAGCTGTCAATCCCGCAGCTGGGTGGATCCAGACAGTATTGTCGGGATCCGTCCCGGCTGCGGCGTCTCAGTATACCGCGAGCTGTAGCTCGCGGTATACTGAGCTTTAGCGTTCTCCCTGACCCAGTTTGTGTTCTCATGTGACCCTTAGGAGAAGTATGGGGAAAAGCCCTGAACCCATAGTTCTCCTTTTAACTCTTTGTTAAGGCAGATAGTGTTAAAGTTCTAGTTTTCTAGGAATTTGCTCTGTTGCAGAGCAAAGCCAGACTGAAGATTTTTTACATTCAACACATTTCCTGGAGTACCGGGAAGTTCCCTGGAAGTGCTGGGAAAGGGGAAGTATAACATGTTTCTTCCACCAGAGCTTTTTTGTTGTTGCTCTGAAAGTGCACTTGACTATGTTTAAAGTGTTTCTAGGGTAAGAGCAGTGCGGAAGTGCAAACATCTTGTGGTGCTTAAATGTACCTATGTTAGTCTTTAAATTATTCCCTGTGTAGGTCAATACATCCTAGGCCCAGTCTGTACATGCCGCGCCTCAACTTCTGCCCAAATTAAGATTGAGCCCCTTCTCCGCCTGATGCTAACCTCTGCCCCAATCACTGAATTGTCAAATACCACAACGTAAGTGGGCAGTAGAAGCTCTGACATTTGGTTGATTTGACAGTGGTCATGTACATCCTGTTCTTATGATCTAAGGGCTTCCACAGAGAATAATTTGAAGATTAAAAACAGCTACTTTTAGGCCTCAGGCCTGTTGCCAGTTGGTAAGTGTTTTAGGCCAGATAATCACTTTTAGCTACTTTCTGCAGATAGTCTGTTTTGAAGGGTTTTCTATGTAACATTCCTCAGAGGATTCAATGTCTGCAAGGTGTTTTTTCACACAGATGTAATGTAAATGATGCTGAAGAATTTGGTGACTCGCTGAAGACTGTTCATTAAAAAGGCCATTTGTTTTTCCTATTTAGAGAGAAGGAGCAAGAAAGGGAAGAACAGTTAATGGAAGACAAGAAAAGGAAGAAAGAGGATAAGAAAAAGAAAGACGCTGCTCAGAAGGTGAGTCTTTGGTCTTGGTACTTGCAACCTGCTTAATAATTTTAAAGAAATTCCCCCCCCCACACACACCACCACCCATGATAACCGACGTTCCCTAACTCCGCTTTCAAGCCAAAGTGGGACATGTTTTACCATTCGTATTTCTTGTATATCTGCAGGCTTATTTGTAATTTGATAGTTGTATATGAACACTAAGATGACTTATTAATTCCCCTCCTGGGTAAGCAAAGGCAGTTGCACTCCTACCCCCACCCTCCCTAAGCTTTATATTGGGTTTTTTTTTTCTTTTTGTAACTTCCTACTAATGGAATTGTGTATATTCATGTGATAGAGATCTTAACACTCCTTAGCTTTCTCCAAATATATATATAATCTTCTTCAATATTTTTGAAGGAGAACTATGGGGTCAGTGTTTTTCCCCATAGTTCTCCTTAGGGTAACGGGAGGACACAAACTAGCGCCCTCCCGTTACCCTAAGCTCAGTATACCGTGAGCTACAGCTCGCGGTATACTGAGACGCCGGAGCGGATCCCGACATAGACGTCGAGATCCGCCCAGCTGCGTGAGTGACAGCTGGCTCTGCCTATCTAGAGGCAGAGCCAGCTGTACCCGCCCCCTCCCCCGTCCGTTCCGCCAGTCAGCGCTGGCAGATCGGAGAGGGGAATCCAGCCCCTCCCCCTGTCACGGCAGAGAGCCGTGACAGGATAGAGAGGTGAGCGAACCCGGTATGTGTTCCCTCACCTCCCGATCTACTGAGCCGACCTGTGACAGTCTCATTGTCACAGGTCGGCTAGAACTATGAGGTGAGTGAAAAGCACTCACTCCATAGTTCTCCTTTAACATATTTTTAACATATTTCACCATGTATCTTTTATATTCTGTGCCCATTTCGTCCCCATAAATATGTTGGAATAGAAGGTAGTTACGTTGATCTCCTGGATGCTTGTGTCCACATTTAATCCTGACTTCCTAATATCTCCATTTGTTTTCTCACAGAAAACAGAAGCACAGTGAGCAGGGACTACAAGTGTAGTGATGAGACCTAGTGAAAGAGCACATCCCCAGCATCCCTTTAGACAGGCATGATGCTCCCTGCTAGTCAGTAGATGGTGCAGGCTTTAGTTATGCAGTCCTGCTGATCAATTGCTCGATTACTGTTCCATAAGCAGGGCTGATAAAATGTAATCAAGAGATTAGCAGACTGCACAGCTACAGCCTACAAAATTCAGTGGCCAGCTCCCTTCCTGAAGCATGCATGTGTAAAGGGTGCCTCGGTATGAGTTCTTTCACTTGAACACAGACTGAAAAGCTGTACAAGGAAGCATGGGAAATGCAGTTATCCAATCAGGAGGGAGCTGATATTTCCCCCCCCCCCTTCTGCTGACTGTTATGGAGAGTCAGAAATAATATAAACCAGAAGCTGCAGCTACTCGGATGGGCTGGGGATACACACACATTTTGACAGAAAACATATCTCAGTTATACTAATACTGTGTTTTGAGCCTGTGATTTATGCTCTTTTTTTTATAGTTAAAGAAGAATTCCAGGGAAAATTATTATCCCTTAGAGTGGGGCTACCCCCGCAGTGCAAGGGTTAGGTGCTGGTTTGTGTCTAGGGAGGAAATGAAAGTTTTACAGTCACCTCCTCTGCAGCAGTCTAAGGTCTCGTAAATCATCATGCTCTGTACACAGGGAGGGGGGATTTATCAAAACTGGACCAGAAAAATCTGGAGCAGATTTGCACTGCAGCCAATCAGCATCTCTCTCTCATTTTCAAATCTTACCTGAGCAAACTGATGAGAGGAGCTGATTGGTCGTCCTGGTCAACTGCTCCAGATTCTGTTTGCTCCAGTTTTGATAAATTCCCCCCACAGTGTATAGAACGTGAGGATTCTGAAGGACATTGCATTACTGCAGCATAGAAGGAGACAGGCTGGAGGGAATGCTGTCACAGATGGCTAGCTCCGAGGATTGGGCGAGTATAGCTTTGTTATTTTCCTCCCCAGACCAAAATGATCAGTTAACGCCTTGCAGTGCAGAAGTAACCCCACTGTAGGGGTTCATAATTATTTTCCTTGGAGTCCGGCTTTAAAGTCATGAATGTGACGTTGGCATTCCTTTAAGCGTTCTGGCTTAAAAATGACAATTTCTTCATACACAGCCCTTTATCTGGCACCAAGAAATTACCGATTTTTCTAGGTGGTGCTTGTGTTCCCTGACATTTTTTCCAGGTTGTCTGTTTGGAATTTCATTCATTTTGTATGGATAACGTTGGAAAAAAAGGCTCTGTTGTGCTGGAACAATTGATGCCGGTATGTTTTTTCTTAGCTTTTATTTCAGCACATTCTAGAGGTGACTGGTATATCCCAATGACAGGTTTGTCCATGCACAGACAGGTCACGTGTTACAACATTTGTCTTGTTCGTGGCATGCATATTAATGATTTGTCTGTCAAAATCCATTTTGCCCAATTTTCTGTTAATCTTTGTGGACAAAACAGAGACGTATCTAGCTATATTGGTGCTCCCCATTCCTGAAGATCACTCGCTTGGACCTTACTAGTGGACTTAAAAGTTTAGTGAATGGTGGATAATGGCTGCGTCTGATCACATACTACCGATATACAAAATCACCTGCTTTTTTTTTTCACGTGGGAATATTTCAGAATTGGCCAATTGGGAAACATTTTTGGTTATGTCCCCATTTATGTGTCTGCAGCTCTGTTGAAAAAGCAATAGCCTCACAGTCAGTGTGCTATGTAGTAGCTCATTCCTCTGTGTGTCACTCTTTTAAATCCATGTTTCAGAGTAAATGTGAGCACATAGGGATGTGTTGACCTTGTGACACTAGAACCGACCATCCAGCATTCTGCACATAGAAATCTGAAAGCATTAAATGCATTTCCATGACCCCACACAATTTGACTTAACTTGTGGTTGTTTTAAACCCTTTATTTGCTAGTTGTTTGACTTGTTGAATGGCAGCATTGTTGCTGTACGTCAGCAGGAATTTTCCAATTGGCTTTGTCAGTTTATCAGAGTTTTTGTTTTCTTGTAGGTCACAGAACAAAAAACCAAAGTGCCCGAAGTGACGAAACCAAGCTCAAGCCAAGCGACGGCCGCCAGCCTACCTGGCAGTTCCCCCTCGCCACCAGTCAATGGTGGCAACAATGCCAAAAGGGTGGCAGTGTCGAACGGACAACCGCCCAGCACCGCCCGCTACATGCCTCGGGAGGTGCCACCGCGATTCCGCTGCCAGCAGGACCACAAAGTGTTACTGAAGCGTGGGCAGCCCCCTCCAGCATCCTGTATGCTGTTGGGGGGAGGAGCAGGGACTCCACCCTCCTCCACTGCACCAGGGGCAGGCCCAGGCAACGCACAGCCAGGGACAGGAACACTGCTGTCGGGGGAAAGCGGAACTGCAACAGGTATGTTTATACATGTGTTTATATATCAATATTTGTGTTTCCAGTCAGCAGCTAAAGCTCTAAGCTCATTTTAACATGTTTACCAGACTAACTTTTGCTCTTGAAAAGACTGTGTACAGACTCAATAGCTTAAAGTGATATTAAAGCTTCATTTAAAAAAAAAAATTTAATAAGAGGAGGCCCATACCTTTTTGAAACTTTTTTTTGTTTGTTTGTTTTAAATTAAAAATGTTCCGTTCCTCGTTCTCTATTGGGGCCCACTGCACAGGTGGAGCCATCAGCTAAGCAGCTGTGGTAGAGGCACTCGTGTGTGCCCACTACTGTCCGAGCCCGCATGTGGCTGTGTGCGTTTGTAGACGCACACAGGTCTGCGGCAGGTTGATTGATGGCAGAAGGAGCCTATGGCTGCTCTGACCTCAATCTACTCCCCGGCAAACCAGGAAGTTCGGACAGAGGATCCCTTCGGGAACCGGCGGCAGTGACCTGTAAGTGTGGGGGGAACGGGAGACACAGTAAGGTACTGGGCGTTTTTTTACTTTAATGCAGAGAATGCATTAACGTAAAAAATGCCCTGCCTTGAGTAATACTCTAACACTTAAACACAGAAGATTAAGTCAGAAGAATGACTGGTCTCTTATCCCTCTTGCCTTTTTTAGATGGGCTTTAATGAGGTGATCAGAAAGCAAGTAGCTATTTCTGTGCTGCACTATGCTGTGTGTTATTACTGTTGCCCCCCTCTATTGGACTGCTTTAAGACATGCCAAGTGTCTCAAAAGGAAAAAAAAAAGAGGGAGGAAGAGGAAAGGGAATAAGAATAGGGGCAGCGTAAAGTAAGGAATTGGAGTTGGAGGAAAGGGGAAGGAAGTGATGGGGGGCAAAGGAAAATGAAGGGAAACAAAATGGAGGAAGAAAAGGGAAAACATTTCCACTGACCATGAATGTTAAAAGCAGTTCTTCCCACTGACCACCAGTGTAAGGTGCATTTTTCTCACCGTCCCCCATTTTCAAGTAGTATTAAACGCCTAAATATTTTCAATAATCCAGCTGAAACAAATATATAGTGCCTAGCAAAATATTTCCTTAAATGTTTGCCCAAGCACTTAGTCACCATGTTTCCTAACAGCTTCTCCAGTTCTCTCAGCTCAGCTTTCCTGAACTTCCTGTCCAGTGCAGGATTACAAAGGACAGTGCAGTCTCCAGCAGCTGTTCATTTACTAGCTTTTAGAAGGGAGGCAGGGAAATCGGGGGGTGGTCTGGCTTGCTGTTCCTGTGTGTTTTGCAGAGACACGCACAGCTTTCTGTTTAGAAGATATGTTGTCCATGCACCATTCCGCCCGTAATATATTTATTGGTAAGCCTCACAGGGCCCCTTCGTCAGGCAAAGTGTCCAAAAGTTATACGAATAAAGATGATATTCTGAAGCAGAATGGTGTGTGGACAACATATTTTCTGATTGTATACTGTGGCGCCATCCACCAATTGTTCCAGCACCCGTTGGATTCTGGGGTACATTGATGAGGGTATTACTAAGGCACACACAAGGATGGCTTCACAGGACCCTGCAAGAGGAAGGAACCTCTCTAAAACCGGATATCAGGGCCAGTGCTCAGGGGACCAGCTGATTCTGCAGGAAACAAACTTTTAAACATCAAGGGGCTGAATCCATTGCGATTCAATCAGCATTTTAAATTGCTTAAACTTTTGACTTCAACACAACTTTAACGAGCATTTTTCCCCCTGACCCTAATTGTAAGAAACATTCTTACCACTGACCCCCATTGTAAGGAGCTTTCTTCCCATTGACCAACAATGTAAGGGAATTCTTCCCACTGGCCACCAATGTAAGGAGCATTCTTCGCAGTAACTTCATAAGTGGATTCTTCCTACCTTTTGATTTACTTGACGCAACCTCATCTTTTATATTTTAGCAAAAAAATTGGACAATAATTAGTGCATTTTTGCCCCTGAAAATATGGGTATTATAGACCATAAATATTGACTCTCACATGCAGACCCTACAGTCCTGATAGTGTGTGACCATTCGCTTTTCCATGAAAGGTTTGGGCCTGATGATGGCCTCCATGGAGGTTGTTCCTATGCTGAGTTTCACTCCCAGGCCAGTGTGGAACAAACGGGTTCTATCCCCAGATCTCCCCATCCGTTTGTTGAGCAAGTCAATGCTTGCCTTGACATGGTGGATATCCAGTACGGTGCTACAAAATTATTTCCTTCTGATGTCTTGCCACTGTAGGATCTTATCTTTTTGTTCTGGAGGTTCCTAGAGAAATTTCTATTTGACTATTAATGAGATTTCCCCTTAAACTCTTGTCTCGTAAGATGGCCTTCCTGGTCGCCATTACATCGGCCTAGGAGAATTTCTGATTGTTGGCCCTATTCTGCAGATTTCCCTGCAGTTTTTTTTAGTGTTTCACAAAGATGTGTTTTTTTAGAACTTTGCTTTTTCTGTTTAAATTGGTATCTTTTTTCACCTTAATGTGCTTTTGGCCCTTTTGTCCTGCACTGATGCACCCTAAGTGGTTCAAGCTTAGTTGGGTTTGTTGGATCTCAGTAGTTGTTGTTGGATCTCAGACCATAACGTAGGTCTTTGCTGTGAAGTATGGTCCATGCGTAGGGCTTCCTGCCTTGTCTTCCATTTCTAGTTCTTCGTTTCTGCTTATTCCACTGGAGCAGTGTTTACTTTTTGGGCATTTCGTCATTAGACCTCAGTGTCCCAAATCTGTAAGGCAGCAGCTTGACCATTGATCCATAAACTATCTTGTTATGTGGCTGTATTGGCTGATGCCATCTTTGGCTGCAAGCGACAATGTGATCTTTTTGGGAGTAGGTCTCAACCTAATGTGGCTATATTGGCTGTTGCCAGGTTTGAGCACAAGGGTGCAGACAGCAGTGTGATCCCCTTGGGATAAGGGCTCGCCATGTTGTGTGCTGTTGCTTTTGGTGGTTCCTGCCATTTAGAAGGCACTGGTTGTAAACATCCTACATGTCTAATGAATAGAAGCTGTGTTTGATGAACTACTGAGAAAATAGAATATTTGTACTCATTTAAAATTCTTCTCTCTGGGTTCATTGGGGGAACAGTCCCTGCGCCGCGTGTTGAGCCTGTTGCTTTGTCGTTGGATTTTTGCTTATCATGGAGCATTTCTGGCATTGCTGGTGTTTAGCAACTAGATAATGCTGGCCCCTAAGGTGTGTTTTTTAATTCAATGCAACTAGCGTTCGCTTCTTTTAAATGGCTGTATATACCCACGGGACTAATAGGAGCCATTTCCCTCATTAAACTCATTGAAATTATTTTTTGGACAGTGTACAACCAAAAATTCTATTTTCTGGACAAAATAAAAAAAAAATGCTGTAAATCTCTGCAATATATGCACAATTCTTCATGCCTCAACACTGCCTCTGCTGCAATAATATTCCAAGAAGCATAGTCAGCCCTGCCTATGTTTTCTCTGCTGGACTAAAGAACTTTGCTTATCCCCAGCCCTCTTTCTTTCTCTACATGCATAAATTTCTGTCCCAGCAAAACAACGCTGCTGCATTGCTTGCCCAAAAACTGTGTAGGGAAACGACTCTTGGGAGATGTAGTTCTGAAAGTGGGTTTACATAAGTAGAAACTGACCTAGGGTGCTTTGCTGATCACTTTTTCCAACAGCTGCCACTGCAAGAATTTTACAAGCCTGTCAGACGGTGTAATAAAGGCAGTTTCCCTCTACAGAAACGAGGTAAAAGAAGAAAGATTAATGATGGGGCATATGCTCTAAAGGGGAGAGGGGAGGTTTTAAACATGGTGACAAACTACAATACTTTAAATGCCTTCATAGGTCATCAGCTTAGAGTTGGTTATAAATTATGGCCCTAGAATTTTTCCTCTTTCTGGCGTGCGTGGCAATACGCACCATGTTGTACATTTTGCTGTTTACATACATGTGTGTGCTTTATGCACAGTGTACTTGATCAGCTGCTTAACACAGTTCTTCTGTCTGGGAACTGACAGCTGAGCACTTGCAGGTTCATACGTCACTTAAGAGATGGAGGAACAGATGTTGGCTATCCTGGTGTCTCTCTTTTCATTCCCAGGCACCTAGGAGAAGCAGGTGAGCCGAGCGACTAAAGAGAGGGGATGTTCGGCTGGGAAAGGAGGGGGGAAATTACACACATAAGCCCTCAGGCAGTTGGATCAATTCTCCAATATAGCCTATAGTCTGCTCTTAAAAAGTGCACAAATTGACTGCTGCTATTGCAGCTGTAAATATGTCTACATGTTGCTACTCCCATTGATGCAGTTATTATATCGGTGGCAGCAAAAGCGGTTCAAGACTGCAGGTTTTTTAAATGTGTAATGGGACCCTATAACAAAACCTTTTAAGGAGCTACCCACCTCTATAATCTCTATCTCAAATGCAATTCCTTCAGTGATACAGAATATGAAATGCTTTGATTTCAATTGTATAAAGGTTATTAAACTATATATACATTCATTTTATCCAAATTTTTATTAACAAAAAAATGTTGGCTACCTGTTTAACCGCAGACTCACATGGGCGGGTTGCCGTCATCAGACAGCATTTTTTCCCTGCGCGCACCCGGGCAGAAAAAACTCGCTCATTCTTTACAGCCGTTACCGCCTGTTTCACATACAACCGATCAGCGGCTCTATAGCCTGCCGATCGGTTGTATGTTGCGATTTGCTTCATCAGTTTCTTTTGGTTGAAATTTTTGACTGACTGGTGAGACAGCGCCAAATTTTTCAAGCCCTGTATATAAAGTTTAAAAAAAAAGCCAAAAATGTTTAAGTACCCCACCCCCCACATTTACGCACATATAAACGTAAATATGCGTCAGAGCGGGAAAACGACAATTGCACTACACACGTTACATATCGCCGCGAACGTCGGAGTGAGCAATAATTTTAGGGCCATCAATCACCTGATGACACTAAACTGATGAGCGGTAACAGCTTTTAAAGCGTCATCTATGGT